AATGGGTGAGAGGCCACTCAGGGGTTGAAGGCAATGAGATTGCAGACCGGGCAGCTAACATGGGCCACCAAAATGCATTTTCTGCTATGAGCACCCTAAGCATAGAGGAGACACTTACTGTCCTGAGGGAGAAACTACACAAGTGCTGGACCAGGAACTGGAAAACGACTGTTGCTCAGACTCAGAAAGGAGCTTTTTTGAGTAACAATATGGTGGAACCACGATTTTGCCCTTGGCTTTGCCTGACGTCCCGCAAGCTAGAATGTGCCTCTGCAAGAATTAGAATTGGGCATGCAGGTGTCAGGAGCTATCTGCACAGGTTTAAAATGAGTGATTCTGATCAGTGCGCCACCTGCAACACAACAGACACAATTGTTCACTTTCTTCTGGACTGTCAGCGTCATGTGCTACCAAGACAGGAGCTACTAAGTAACTGGAGAAGCATCAATGTAGAACTTAACCTTTGTAATCTCCTGGGGGGGAGGTAACTTTAGGGATAAGGTGTCACAGAAAATCTCTCAATTTTTCAATGTATTTATTTTAAAGTCAGGTAGGCTAAGTGATCTTTAGATGAGCGCCTTGCAATGCTGTATATATGGAAGCATTATAGAATTGTTAAAGCATGGCAACTGCTGATATATGTTTTGATTTAGCAAGTAGATCATCTAGTTTTTTTTCAATATTATTATAATTATGTACATATTTCTATTATTATTGTTATTATTATTGTTTTTGTTTAATGAAGGTTGTTAAATTAGCAGCCCTTACTTACCTAAATTACATTAGCAGTAACTATTTCATTTACTAATATATGTTCCCTGTAAACTTCTACCCAATCCTGTACTGAGCTTACATCAGCCAACCTCACAAGACGGCAGCAATTAATTTCATATACAAAGAAGCTGAAAACCACAAGCTATAAGCTCTCAGGCCCAACGGTCATCCATCTGGCAGACCTGCGGCTTTAAGTCCACTCCAAGTGGACACCCTGCAAAGAAGAAGAAGCTGGGCCATACGACGCCAGGCATATTTTCCTGTGGGCTGATTGATCTAATTCAATGGATGTGATCTGTCTGGTGGCGTGCGGCTGATAACGTTACAGTCAAGATGTGTTGTAGGCTATGTTCTTCAGGGAAGGGATCATGATAGTCCATTCGAAGCACGGCAGTGGTGGTCTCCGACAGGCGTCCCAAATTTAGTCATACACAGTGTCGGAAATTCGGAATATACGGATTTGGTAGGTTTGCATTCTAAAGACTTTTTAATAAATATGGCAACAGTTTGTGACATTTCATTGTTGCTGGCGCATAGTGCTGTGTTTTGAGAGTGACGTAAAGCAAACAGAACTCGAGTTGCGCATAGTGATTTTTTTATAGCCATTCATTTTTTGCTACGTCCTTAATGTGTGGGAATATACTGCATTTACCCTATCCATTTATTTCAACATAAGAATATATTAGTACCTGTATAGAATTCCACACTGAGTGACTGAGTCTGTCACTGGACTTCCTTTTTAGGTTATGTGTTACTACAGGATTAGAAATTAGGAATTTTGTTTTTTGTTACTGAAATATAGCAGCTCCAAAATGAGAAATTTGAAAGACATTCAGAATCTTGTGACCTTGTTGTGCACTTCTGTTTTGATAGTAGGTAGGGTAAATGCAGTATATACAGTATTTTCTGACACATTAAGGACGTAGCAAGAAATGAATGGTTATAAATAGATCGCCCTATGCACAACTCGAGTTCTGATTGGTTTACGTCACTCTCAAAACACAACACTACGCGCCAGCAAGGATGAAATGTCACAAACTGTTGCCATATTTATTTAAAAGCCTTTAGAATTCAACTCTACAAAATCCCTGAATTCCGACACTGTGTGTGATTAATTTGTAATTCCGGCGCCCTGTGTTGGAATTCTGATGCCTGTGTGAGCTGTATTGGAATACGACACAGCTCGGAAGAATTAATTTTTTAATTAATTAAAAAATTAGCTTAATTAAAGCTTATTTAAGAGCTTAATTAAAAAATTATAATTTTGCATTCTAATTCTTCTTAGTTAAGAAAATTTTAATTTTTGGACACAGCTCAGAACAAGCTGTGTGTGTCTAATTCCAAGCTGTGTCGGAATAAATTTTTATGTGTCTAAAACCGTCGCTCAACTTAATCATCTAATAATTTATTTACCACTTGAAATCAGCAAATACAAGTATACTTGAAGGATTTCTAATATATTCACTGACTTATTTAAAAGTCTCAAACCATAATATTCTTTCTACACAAACAGTTTATCACTATTTGGTGGAGCAAGGTCAACTATCAACTTTGACACGTTTTTTGATGTTCTCACTGGGTGACGTGCACTGTCTCTCTTTGGATCTTAACATTTTCCTGCCAGGCTGCCAGACGGCCCAGACCTAGTGTTTTGGCAATAGTATGGCGCGCAATAGTATGATGTCACTATTTTAACCATCAACAAATGTGAGGAACTAAGACAAAGCTTAATATAAAGGATAAAAGTTGAGAAGTGTTGGAATTACCCACAATGTTGGAATATACCGCATTTACCCTACCTATTTAATCTATTTTAGCAAATTGAATGAAAAAATTATGGTTCACATCAGAACTTCAAAAGCAACAAGCCAGGTCTCATTGTGGGACACCCCTGGGGCTATTTGGGACACCCCCAAAAATGCATTTACAGTAGAACCTCAGTTAGCAAAGGCTCCAGTTAAGAAAAAAATTGATTAAAAACAAAGAATTTTGATTACATTTACCTTGCTCAGCAAAAAAAATTTCACTTATCAAAAAATTAGTGCATTATCGGTCATCACAAAATTGTGCATAGAATGTCATATATAGAATTGTGCACCAGGCATCATAGAATGAAAAGTAATTTACCTAAACTATGATTTATTTCTCTAAAACATATGATGGTTGTCACTAAAACATTCCTTTCTGTTTCAGGTATGTTTTTCACAATCTTTTTTTATAGTAAATTCACTTAACCCAATTAAAATGGTGTGAAATTACAAGCCGTCCTGTAAGCTTACAGATACAGAAAAAATGCTATAATGCTGCTGATATGAAGCTTGCAGTGGACAAGGCAGTTGAAATGCTCAATTGCCTGTTCATGGATACGGTAATATCGCATCAATAACAATAATACAGTTATTAATGTGTATAGTGATATCATATCAATAAAGGAAAAACAAGTAAAAATCACAGAAAATGTCATTTATTCTACCTCTACATCATCTACAATGAAAGAGGAGGACTTCAGAGTACTCTTAGTAATGGATGAGTACACTGCATGCTTCAAATGTTTTAAAATTAAGTTTTATTCCAAGTGTCCCGAGTAGCCCTGTCGAACGAGGCTACTCGGGACACTCTTTTTTTTTGCTTCTGGCACCTTACAAATGGCATATAGAATTTTTTTGGAGAAGCCATGTGATAGGTTTTGCAAAGAGCTTTAACAATTTGACTGCGACGTGCACCATATATGGTACACGCATGCATGTCACAAACTGCGCTGTGTGCCATATATGGCGCATGCTTGAAAAATTTAATTAAAAAAACTCTTTAAAATATCAGCCAGATCATAAACTTCTGAAAAATATGATGGATAATTGACAATAATGTTTTCAAAAACCTATATGAACGTTGTGCAATCGAATCATAAGAATCTTGGTAGTTGGAATGTAGCCTGAAATAATGAGTGGGTACGAAAAAGAAAAAGTAATAAATTAAAGGGGTTATCCTGTTCCAATATGTTGAAAATAATTTTTTCGGTATTGGTATGGATTATAGCAGTAGAAAAATAAGTATTAGTCATTCAAAAGTTGCCTAAGCTCACACAGAAACAGAATAACACTGTAAAAAGCAAGATAAACAGTGATACAGATTCTGAGTACTGGGCTAGTAATTGATAGTTACTTTTTTAGCTTTTTGTCTCACTTTAGCACCAACTAACTTCCTTTTTTTGCAATTATGTTAAAGCAAGACTAGGATCAGTAGCTCGTCATGGCTTGAAGCTTCAAATACTTTAGAGCTGGAAATTGCCAACCTCTAAAATCATTGTGATTTGGTTATAGAAACATTTCTTCACGTGTCTGACCTATTACTAGTGAAAATACAGTCATTAATCTTCAATGACTTCAGCAATTCACATCGATTTTTACTGACTATAGAACTGATCACCAAGCACCCAGGCATTTGCTACAGTTTTTGCCAATAACTTGAACAGTTGTTGGTACCACTTCATGCTTTGCTTAGAGCAGTTTTGTAAGAAATCATCTAAATTAATTATAAACTTCCCATTTAGCAGCATTTTACCCCAGAATGATTTGTAGTTTGCTTATTGCAGTCACAATCCAATTTCATTCGCACAGAAAATGTTTTTTTCAAGCATTAGTACCCGTGTGATGCAAATTTTTTATTGTAGTTAAATAATAAATGCCATGTACCTCATATGGCGCACGTTGCCTAGAAAGATGAAAGTTTCCATCCCAGGCAACATGCGCCAATAGAGGCTCACAGTTTTTATGTCAGAAGCTTGTAGAACTCGCTCAGACAAGAGCAGCGCACTAGCCCTGATCTCGCTGCCTTGTCTGTAACTTAAGTTATTCAAGTTTGAATGAGTCATTTGACTCATTGACTCATTGAGTTGAATGACTCATTCAAGTTGAATGAGTCGTATATCATTTTTGGGACTGCAATATTTGTGTTAAATGAATTATCTTTGATCTAAATATTAATAAAACTGCACAATTGGGCTGCAATATTCCAAATATATAAAAAAATTGTCACTTTTGAGTTGCAGTATTTCATTCATAATTAGAACAATTCTAAAAAAAGAGATAAACATTTCTACAAAAGAAATCACTCAAGAGCCAAACTCTGTAAATATAGTATCTCCTAGAAACCCACCATGCCCAAAAACCAACACTCTAATAAACAATATATATGTATTTCTGAAAAATTCTCTTTTTTGCTTTTCAGAGTGCTGAACATTCCAAAAACTTGGAAAATATTGAAAATACATTTTTCTAGTTACTATTGTTGATGCAAAGATTATGTCATGTCACTATCACAGTCTTGTTTGTTGCTGGCAGTGAGTGGAGATGATGCAGGTAGTGCTGAACTCCAACAGATCCTGCATGTCCCATCTCAGGCTTTCAAATCATTCAATGTGAGTTGTATGAATTTTTTGATATCATTCGTGCAATCATTATAATTGGATTCCTATTCTTGACTTGATTTTTGTAAATTGCTTGCTCTGCCTTTTTTATTTTTACAATATTGTAAAACGTTTGCTTTCTTCAACTCTAATTTATTTATGTAGCTTTATGCTGTAATGAAAGGTTGATTATTTATCAATATCTTAATAAAAGTTTATCTAAGTTTAATTATCAATATCTTGATTATTTTGTAAAACATTAGGGATTCTCTTTTTGGAATAATTGTCAAATTGCAATGAATTTTTGTATCCTTAACTAACTACAATTTTCCAGTTGAAGTTATTGAACTGTCTTCTGATTAGTATTACCTATATAAGATGGAACAGAATCTAAAACTCTCTTCTCTCTGACTCGAGTTCATATGCATATTTCTGAAAAATTCCAGTATTTTTTTTTATTTTGGTGCAAATTCTGGGATTAAATCTTTTTCACAAATGTTGATTTTATTCAATTTTTGCAGGTGCTAACACATGTGCACTATGTCCGAGTGCCACTGTCTCAGAAGACCTTTTGTATTGCAAAACTGGCCAGTGCAGTTGGTGTGTCCGAGATAAGAAGCAAATCAATACCTGGAAACTTTAAAGTCTTCCCTGCCAGATGTTGCTTTTCTGTTACTGGTGGCTCTGAGTGGGATGGGAAAACCACTCTGGTTGCAGCAACTGACATCAAAATATTGAAGAAAACTTCAATCAAGTCTGTCTGTGTAAAAGTCTTGCTGAAATCTAAAAATGATGTTATCAACATGGAAAAAAATACAAATCTCTATCTAAAAGTTATAGAGAATATAATTTCCTCTTATGGAATTGTCAGTCATTGTGTGATTAGATGTCATTATAACACTCTAGCACAAGTCTTTGGTATAAGAAAAATCTTCATTTGCTCAATGAAAAGTTGTAACAATCAAAGTTCATCATGTAGTAACTTCAATGATTCATTTGACTGTGTAGGTGTTAAGTTCAATGATTCTTCCAATACTAGACAAATCGAGTTGGAGCTCAAACAAGGTACTTCCCCATGTGGATGTAGCGAAAGTTGTTTTAGAGCAAACCCTGAACGCTTGCAGAGAAGCAATGGCAGGGTGACTGTTTGTAGCGTTGCTCAGGAAGACCAGCTATCAAACTCACAAACAAATTATTCCATCAATCTGCATGAGGCTATTATGCAGCAAGGGTTGACTGTCCAAGACAAATCCCTTGAAAAGCTCTTTATTGCACAGAAAACTGAAGGTAATATTATTTAACTAGATAGTGATATACTATCCATGTTTTCAATACCAATTTATTAACATTTTTCATGTTGCAACTTCTTGTCACTAGTTGGTCTGGTCTATCTGCGCTATTAGAACAGTTACTGATAAGTAAACAAAATGAACGTGTTTTTTTCACAAATTTTCTTATTGATGTTTACAGGTTTGTTGTTGCTGGTGATAGGGTTGTCAGGTTGGGGCAAGACGTCACTGCTGCACAGGGTAGCCATGACGGCAAGAACCCCTGTGGTTAGTATTGACTGCCGTACGATGAAGCCCAACATAGACGCTATCTTCCAGGTAAATGCCCAATAATCAACTTGCTTAATGTTTTTAAGCATCAGTTTCTGCTATGTTACTTCCAACAAATTTCATCAAGTACGGTATTGAATCAGGATGAATAATTCAACATTTTATGTAATAATTACTAGTACAAATCTAGCATATTTCATTGATGAATATTTGGCTTTACCTGGATCATAGCGTCAGTAATTTCCTTATGCATGTACAATTGTTGTATTCTCTCTTGGTTTAGATGAAGACACAGCTACCGACAGAACGCCCTGGATTGTTGCTACTGCGCAGGCTTGACACCTTGTTTGCTGCCTCTAAAAAGCCTGATCATATCATTAATGAAGTAAGCATCTGTAGTTGGTTTTAGACGCCGCCATGAACATTTATTATCAGATCGGTTAATTTGCTCCTAGAACATTGTGAATACTTTAAAACGGACCAAGTATATATATTATTGGAATTTCCGACACGGCTAGACATGAATGTTGAAATTCTGCCTCTTTAAATGGACTTATCACTTCATACAGATCAACTGATGTCAATTCTAAACTACATTGCATAACTTTGGCAGATCGTCGGCGCAATTCTCTGCTACCTGCAACAGAAGGGAGTGTGTGTGGTAGTCACCGCTCCTGATATCGGTTCATTACCTCCTGACCTGGTGGCCCTGCCCTACATCGAACTCAACGTTGGCTCTTCAACTGTTCCTTACCGACGAGCTATACTACGCCATTTTCTTGCTGACTATAACTTGGCTGATTATAAAGCAGGTGCTCACGAGATGCCAGCAGACTATGCACCTAAACGATCATTAGTTGATTCATATCCTTCTCAAGAACATAAGCTGCCTGGTTCTTGCTCACTTTCTACGAGAAGAAATTCAATTGAGCCTGAACTATCATACAATATGATTGGGGATGACCCTAGCGGCTCCCAACAATTTGAAGTTGACGTCGATTCAATATATTCTGTGACGACCAGAGATGCTTCACCAAAATATGATATCAAATCAGGCAGTCCTGTTGACGTCATTACGGACTCGGTCAGGAATTTGAATCTCAATGATAAAGATTCTGAGCAAATGTCTTCCTCCAAATCAATGTGTTCAGAAGTTGTTGCTTTGAATCCTGCTTCATCAAAGGAGAGATTGACCCATCAAATACAATTAGCTGAGGGCTCTATAGCTGACCAACTGGCGCGCATCACTCCAGGATATGTGGCCAGCGACATCCAAGACTTATTGTCTCTTGGTCAAGAGAAGTTGCTTATAACAGGAGAAGAGGTAAAAATTACATTAGAATCTGCATTCGAACTGTAAATTTTTATTTTCGCAAATCAATTTTACTTCTCAATTGTGCTACGCAAATTTAATTCCTAATTAGTGAAATGAAAGCAAGTTAGTGAATTCAATCATTTATTTGTGTTTATTTCACTATTCTTATATCACGTTGTAATTTTATTAGGCGATCAGCCCCGCAGACATGATGTCGGCAGCAGTGGAGGAGCTCAGGACTTTTCGCCCGCGCGTGCTGCGTAGCAGTGAGCTGCTGGGAGACCGCCCCGTGGCCCACACTCTCGGTGGCCTCGAATATTTGCAGGAACTTTTATCTGACATACTCAAGATTACCGTCTCCGGTGCTGATGAAGACCTCTCACTCTTGGGGGTGAAACCCACCAGAGGTGCGGCCTTACCACGGCTAACACTGCCCTCACTTTGTATCGAAACTGACTGTTCAATTTTGCAATGTTTATGCTTTATTTCTTTCCTAACCTGCGCTCGTACGTTTTTATATGATATTAGACGCTGTGAGAATTTAAACTTTTTGTGAATATGACTGCTTGATATCGATTTGGCTGTCGAGTCGTATTCTTTCTCGCCAAGCGTACCTATATTTTGATCGCCGTATTTGCGTGGCATGCTGAATCAAGTTCTGTTGCGGTCAGGGGTGCTCTTGTACGGGCCGCCGGGGTGCGGCAAAACGCAGCTTATCTGCCGCCTGGCGTCCAGTAAAGGCTGCGCATTCTTCGCCATTCAGCCCAAGCATATCCTGAGGTTAGACAATGATTCTCTGTTTATAGCTCATATACGTATTACCAATGTATATTAAAATCACTTAACATAATAACATAACATAATGATGTCGGCGCTGAAATGTAGGCCCGATGTGGCCTGATGATGTTAAGAGCCACTGACAATATTAGTCATTTTATATGTATGATTGTATAATATATTATGAAAATGTATTTTTTTCTACTGGCTTTGTATGTTATTTTCAAGCATAGCCCTTATGTGGGAGAGTCCGAGCAAAAATTGTCGCACGTCTTCCAGACAGCCAGGCAGGCGCGTCCTGCCATCCTGTTCTTTGATGAAATAGGTGAGTCTATTTACGGGTAGATCAGGATTATTATCCAATTAGAGTCGTAGTTTCTAATCCTATTACTAATCCTGTATGCATTTCCATTCATTCGTCGTAATTTATATCTCAAATGTTCTGATTATTAAATTTAATCTATTTTTTTTTCAGAGATATTTTTCTTTATCATTTAAAAGAATTTGTGTATAGATGATTCTGATGAATCAGAAGTCCCGACACTCTTAAGTATGAATGAAATGTAGTCACCAACTAACCGAAAGTTTACAGTTAATTTTATCCCATCTACTAACGCTGACCTTTATATCTTGTTGCTGATATCATACAAGCTGTCGCTGACCTTTATTTCTTATTGCTGCTAACATATATGCTGTCATTTAGATGGCATCTTCGGAGATCGAGGAAGTGGTGACGGTGAGGCAGGAGGTGTGCGTAACCGCCTCATAACAGAGCTGCTACAGACCATGGACGGCGCCCTGGCTTACTCTGACGGCTCAAACCTCATGACGGGGCTGCTGGTGTGCGGCGCTACCAACAACCCTGACAGACTGGACCACGCCCTCCTCAGACCAGGCCGCTTTGACAGGGTTGTGTATGTCCCACCACCAGACCCTGAGCAGAGGCTTCACATACTCATGGTATGTTGATATTTCCTCGGTCATTTTATCCTGATCACATGTAATAGCAAGATTTTAATTTCTTGTTGAGAAAACTTTTTGTTGTTCGATTGCATATTGACATATAATACCTGCTGGAAATTCTGGACAGCTGTGGAGCTGTGTTTAATTTTCAAGGTTTGCTGTATATTTTCAGAGTTGTATTTCCTTGGCATACAATTATGTTTGGATTTAAGAAAATGATCAATACGCTAGCAAAATAAATGAATGTAAATAAGACGTAAATCATGTGGCGCATGCGGTGTATTTCAAGGCCAAGTGCCAGAGACTGGAGCTGAACGAGCCTGAGGTGCTGGAAGAGCTCGCAGCCGAGACGGACCTCTTTACTGGATCTGATCTGGAAGGCGTAGTGCAAGAGGTGGGCTGTAGGTTCTGCTAATTCCTCTATTTCAACCAAGCTCAAGATGAACTTAAGTGTCAATATATATCTCAAATTTTTCCATTTTAGAATTTCTTTCTGGTCTGAGGTTATTGATTACCCACGATTTCTTTCTGTAAATACACGCAACGCTTTCCCGCTGGAGATTATGGTTTAATAGCATAATTCATTTGTTCAGGCCACGACCATTGCCCTGTTGCAGTCCTCGCTTACATCTGACGGCAACGTTCTAATCACCGCTTCATCCTTACGTGAAATATGCCGGAAGACGAAGCCAAAACTCACGCCGGAAATTATTTCTAGGTATGAAGCATTCCAGTCCAGATCGACTAATACATAAATGATGAGTCGGAAAATCTGGTTGTTTCATTTCTATTGATAGAGTCTAGTCGTATCGGCGTTGCAGATTAGGCAACGACAATGACGATTAGGGCTTGTGCCGATTATAGACATCAGAGTTTTTTCAGTTTTCTGCGGCTTGAGCAGGTAACTTTCGTTCCTTTACACTCGTATACCTCGTTAATGTTGACTATTATTACTCACAGCTATCTTAATCCTTTACCGCCGTATGTCACTCTCCGGGAACATAACTTTCAACTTGATATTCTCCGGGAACATAACTTTCAACTTGAATTATACGTAAACTATTGAATGTAGTAACTTGAGGACGTTTGTACGCAACAGAGAACATTTTAAAGTTATCGTACGTGGCGGCAACCATCTGTGCAAGTCATTTTGTGCTCACTAGAACGTATCCTTTTTAGGGAGTAGGCTTGTGACTATATTGCCCCGGTTACTCGTGTCAGGCGGTAGAGGGTTAAGCTCCTAACTCGTATTCTCACACTCTCGGTGCTATTAACCTCTAGGCCACCGACTTTTACAAAACCGAAGTTGATCCTTTCGTGACTGACGACTTCTCGGACCCAAACCGCTAGCTACGAATAACATTGACCACGGGAAATGTATCCGAGACAAAAGGGTAAACAAATTTAAAATGTGCTTCGAGTTTTCGGTGTTTTGGATTACATTCTATTGGTGCTTGCAGACGGTGTACCTGTGAAGCTCGCAGGGAAAAGTTTTCTGAGGGATGTTTTTTTTTGTTTTATCTCGTGTAAGTACTATTATACGTTTATTTATGGTACCGAGTCAAAGTCATACAGCTGAGTGAGCTCCGCGTTCGCCGCTCGATTGGCCTTATATTTGCTCTGGACAAAATAATATGCAGTGGTGTCAGCTTTAATTGGGCAATGTTAGGCTTTCATCGATTTCAATCACCTTGCCAATTTCTACTATAATTTTCAGAAATGGATTAATTTTTAAGCTGCAGCTCCCTGCCTCAATCTTGGTAATTTCGACCGTTTGGTCACTCGAAGCTGACTGAGCTTTTAATAATATAATTATTCTATTGAGCATTTGTCATGGCTTCTGGTCTAAACATACTTCGAGGGTACGTTGCACGTAAGTTCAATGGCAAGAAAAAAAATACACAAGAAAGGATGAGAACGGATAAAAATAACAGCACTAGATTCATAGGCTCTACGAAATAGTTTCGTCTTTAGGCGTCGACGAAACACCTGTAACGAAGGAGCCGATGTTATGGAAGCCGGCAGACTGTTCCAGATTCTGGCGGCGGCGACCGGGAACCCATCCTCACCGACGGTCGATAGACGTGTAGATAGAACGAGGAAGTCCACTGTTGACGAACGCAATCGTCTTCTAGAAGGCAGATCCGATACGCGCTGCAGACATTCCGTGAGATAGGGAGACGCCACACCGTGAGGGCATCAGTACGTCCGAACAGCGACCTTGAACTGCGTGCGCAGCCAGTGGATATCGCGCTATATCGTCGTCACGTGATCGTATTTTTGCTATTGAACAGAAATCGCGCAGTAGCGTTCATTGCGGATTGCAGTTTATCCACTGCCGGGTCGGAAGTTCATAGAGTGTGGCATTTCCTAGATGCAAAATCGATGAAGCAGTTGTTTGTTGCTGTCGTGCACCCGAACCTAGAATTTGGAAACGTCGTGTGGTCACCGAAACTTGAAAAGGACAAAAATTTAATAGAGAGTGTTCAAAGACGTGCAACAAGGATAATTCCGGGCCTGAAAGACAAGTCCTATGAGGAAAGATTAAAGATTGTGAAGCTTCCAAGCCTCGGTTATCGACGTCTGCGTGGGGAACTCTGAAGCATACAAGTATACTCATGGCTTATACAAGGTCCCAGAAAGATTACTAGAATTTGAAACAAGAACCAACGTCAGGGGCCACTGCTATAAACTAAAAAAAAAACTGCGTTGTAACACATCCATGCGACAACATTTCTTCTCGCTTCGAGTCACCGACATGTGGAACAGCCTCCCTGATTGCATCGTTGACGCTCCGAGTATGAACGCCTTCAAGAACAGACAAGACGAAGCTATGCAGGAGCATATGTTCAGTCTTAAAATGCCTAGCAATAAGAAGTTTGTTGGATGTGTTAGCTTGCGTTTCAACATGCTTAGAAAATTTCAGCTCCTTGTCGACATAAACTCCGAGATCTTTTTCCACACTAGACTTTTCAATCATTACTCTCTCGTTGCAACCTGCAGCGATGACATCGTCAGCTGTGGCGCAAGTGAATTCTTGAAGCACGCAGTCGAACGGGCACAGTGCAAATGTTGACGGCGGAGCATCGACTGACGACGCTCGCACAGCAGATATTTTTGTTTTCAAAATCCGCATGGCATTCCTCCACGCTTACGTCATCCGAAACATTTTTATGAACTCTTCCCATGAGTTTATCCAGTAGATACCACTGCGCTCGAGGATCGCTGCGTAGCGAGTCAAACTAATGGCGCCAAAGCTACTTTTTTTTTAGATCGAAGAAGGTCGACATAATTGCGCCGCGCATCATTCTAGGTAGAGGCCACAGCAGTAGGATTGCCGCGTCTGTTTGCCCGGTAGGCAACCCGCTGGAACAGTCGAGACCTGCAGACATTAATTGTCGAACAATGGGTCGGAGATCCTTTGGGGTACCCGAACTATAGGTGCAGGTCTGAGGTCATCGATTGCACCGGTCAGCTCGGTATTGTAGAGTTGCACTAGGTTGTTGAGTGATAATGCCAACCATGAGTCGGGCCGGCATAGTCGGAACGACTGCAGATTTTCGCGCAAGACATCGCCGTCGAGACCGCGCCACGGACGACATATAGCAGTTTTGTACGTCGGCACCGGGCGTACACATGGCCCCGTCGACTGAGGTAGTCGATAGTCGGATATTACGATCCAGATGATGTCGACTGGCATATTTTGAAGACCAGCACGCGTGATTATGAAAATGTCCATCAGTCCGTTATTTCTTGCGTCGGCAAAGTAAAGTGACAAACCATGCCAAAGCTGACCAGAAGGTCGTTCAGCTGACGAGCCGATGGGTCGTCGATGCAATCCAGTCGAACGTTTAAATCGCCGGTGATATGGACATTGCCGAGTGCATCTATCCCCTCCGTTTCGAACCCCTTGCAAAATATTGTTCATTTGGTTCTGACGAATATTATAGGTACCAAGATACCCATCAAACTTCTTGTCGAACTTTGATTTTTTCTGCAAAGACGTATAACAAATTCAAAATAAATAACAAACAAAAAATAACAAAACCACTTATGTTTAATTTTTCAACTTTGACGGACGGTTCGACCAGGTTGATAATTTGAAACAAAATTTAATGATGCTCGGGCAGTCACCCTTTTTCGTATCCGTTACAGACAGGTACAGACTACAGGGGACAGGGGCTTTCATGGAGGCCGGGTTCTTCATTGGTTTCTCATGTTATTTAGGTTTGATCACTCATTACCTAAAAGCTAGTTGTACAATTTTTCCTTAATTTGTCTAAAAACTAAAGAGCCGGCTGAAGTTAGTGAAGTAGAGCTTAAAATTGTAATCAACTAGGCTACCTACTACCTAGGTGGGGCCTAGGCCCTAGGGGCCTCTGGCCTAGAGCTCTAGGCAAGTAGACTATGGCATTAGGGAGTATTAAGTAGCCAAAATCAAAGTGCACTCTGCAGCTAAGAAATGCCTTGTCCCAGACCCCATTTGCCCATCACCCCAGTCCCCAAAGACTAGTATGGAATATATCTACTTGGCGAGCCGCGACTGAATTTTTTGAGCCGTGGTTTTATGGATTTGCCAGCCGTGAACGTGATTATATTTCTACGAGCCGTGATTCTATTTCACCGAGCCGTGAATTCCATATCTCGGCCATGAAAAGCCATTTACGAGGTGCGAATGCGAATTTATTTACAAAGTTTATGCACGTGTTACCCCAAATCTCTAATTTTACCCTTAAACAGTCAAACGGCAACAATAAAATTTGTCTCTACTGTAAGTTCAGCACGTGTTAATATACAGTCTGACCGCTTTGTCCGCTTTGACATGACCGCAACTATGCGCGATCTTCAACAAACATTTTGTTTATTTGTTTACATTACGATGTTTATGTTTTTTCTGCAAGATATTTTTGGCGGAAACGGTAAAGCAATGCGGATTGCGGAAGTTGAAAATTTTATGAAATGACATGTTTGCGAAGTGCAAACCGCGATTTTTTAATCAAACACAAATTTATGACATTCGAGCCGCGAGATTTCATACCTACTGAAATTATATGAGATTAGAGCCGCGATATTTCAGACAAAAATAGGACTTTTCCAGACTAGCCCAAAGAGAGCCAATTGGGAGTTTCAGGCAGAATTGCAAGTAAAAACAACTGTTTCACTCAGTTTTCTGAAATTGCATGCACAACGGCAAAAATATACTGTTTTTTCTTTGTCATTTTTATGGAAGAAATTGTGCTAGGTTGTCCGTTCACTCCATTGTACTTTGTAGGATTGGGAAAATTGTATGCACTGACAGCACTGTAATGCACATATGACTTACCTTGGCCAATTTTGTTTCATTCATGCAATTTGCAAATAGGTGGCAATAGCCAATAGCTGAAATGCTGAATAGCCTATGCTTGATTTTACAGTATGGAAACTGGACTGAAATTCTAAGCTATTAAAAAGGCTTCACTGGCTTACCATAATTAACAATTCTTAGAGAATTACATAGGAATTGAAATTCAAATTAGAACCATATTTTATTGAGAATTAGTAGTTGCTAGAAACAAAGGCTCCCAGTAGAAATATGTGCAATAAAATATGGTTCCTTTAGGTTCCCCTGGAAATAACTCTTAGAAATAAGGTTCCCCCATAGCCTTATACCTAGATACATGTTGATCTCCGGTCAAGACTACTAGATTGGGCATTCACGCTGTATAAAAAATCTTTATAGCAAAAAAAAAAAATTCCCATCTCATTTGGCAGTTAAAAAATATTCAATTAATAGGTATTCACTACAATCCTAGAACTTGCTAAAAAAACTAAAACATTCAGATTCAATAATACATGTCATTGACTATGATTGACATCATCTTATAAAAATAAAATAATTTACTAAAACATTTACCACAAATGCACAATCACCATTGCCTTCCTATCTTCAAATCTCTCAATCTTCCACTCCTCAAGACTCCACTTTTATCTTCCTCCTCCATGTGCTCTTTCTTCACATTAACATAGCTACAGTTGTTTTATAAGGCTGTCTCATAGTCATTGCCATCTACTCTTTTCTTTTTCTCTCATACCTCACTTTGTTGATCTAACCTCCCACACTCAGTCAGAATCACCTCTATCATAAACTGTTGCAATGTTGCTGTCTCTGTCTCTCACATATACCCCAGCCCCACATTCCATCAACAAGTGCTCCACAGTTTCCTTCTCATCCCCATCACACATAAAACACTTGTCTTCCCTCCTCTCATTCCCACTGGATGTATGTGAGTATTTATATTCACACCAAGTGCCCATGCCCTCACACAAAACAAAGTCCCCACCTCTACTACCTACATGTGTACATTCATATTTTTGCATCATTTTAATATCATATAGTTTTAGAGTGTTCTTTCCATCCATTCCATGCTTCCACACCTTCAGCCCATAGTCTTCCACTTGCTTATTTACCACTTTATCCCAGCTGCACCTTGTACTGCTTCACCCAATGGTCCTTTGGCCCAGTGGGCCATTGGCGCTCCCATGCTTCATGCATATCACACTTGCATATCAATGCACATCTACGTGCCCATTTGCTCACCTATATTATCCACATATACATCTTTCAGGGCCAATATTTATTGTCTATTAGTTCCTGTCTAACTTTATACCTACCTCAAAACTAATCTCATTCAAACAGTCATTCACTTGCGCAGCTCTTGCAGGACTGTGATTGTAAATTAATCAAAAATAAATTTTTACTACTAATAGGGGAAGTGAAGGAGTAGAGTAGAAGTGTTTGATAAATTATTTCCTTTTAAATTCTTAAATTTCAGAGGCCAAATTAATAGATGGCTATTGACCAGGACAGTGACAGTATGCGGGTCAAGTTGGAGATTGATGAATCAGGTAATTCATTAATATCTTGATATTGTTTTGTAAAAGTTGAATAAAGTAATATTGGTTTGTTTCTATTTATATAATAACTGTGAAATAATTTTAAATTATATTGATTGAACTTTTGTAAAAAGAAACTTTCATGCATTTTGATTGAATGGATACACTTCTTTTCATCTTGTCCAAGTATAACTCAGTTTGCATGAAAAGATTGTAATTAAAATGTGTTGCCACTGCAGCTGGTGATTTGGATGTGGCTCGGGAAAAGTTTGATAGCGCATTGCAAGATTTGTTCTTTAAAGAAGAAGTATCAGATTCAGAAGCAGAAGATGTACAAAATGCTAAACAGGAACCTAGTGCAGATTTGTCTGCTGAGAGCATGTAAGTTGCTGTTGCTTTATTGCATGTCATTTGCTTTTGGCAGCAAATCTTGTGTCAAACATGAATTTTTATTTGATTGATTTTTAATCCTCTCTAAATCAGCACCTTGCTATTAATTGGCTCAAAATTAAGTGTAATTATAGATGCATTCTCTTGTTAGACTTTTTAGATTGCAAGTTAATTCTCAAGATCATTTATGACCAGGAAAACTCCATCCAATGATTAAGCACAAGGAAAAATTTTTTATTATGTCTCTCCTGCACAGTTTGGTGTATTTCCGGTTTTTTTATGTGATGTTTAAACTTAATCTAAATGCAATTTTTTATAGTCTCAAGACAAGTTGATGAGGCAGATATGCAAGTTTGAAACAGTCTCAGTTTATTTAACTTAGTCATCTAAATTAACTTAAGTTATACATTATATATATATATATATATATATATTAAGTTTTGGTTACTGAATCTTGATTGATGGCAATTCCTTCTCTAATTGAACTATTTGTAAAAGCATTTCATTGATTTACATTATCTTTTTGATTCTAGCTCTGAAATTATTGCAGGGAGACAGGCCTCGAGTCAGCAGCAACCCAGTCCTCTCGACCCCCTCGCAAAAGACGGCGTAAGGACACTGAACCTGACCAAGTAAGGCTTAATATATAGAAATTAATTTTCAAAGTGTAAAGACTATCAGCAATGTGGGATTAAATATCTCTTGTAGAAAGTAATCTTCCTTATCCAATTAGCCAAATGAACCAAGTTAAAAGTTGAAAAAAAATGTGTTGTCTAATTTTTATATGATTTAGATGGATTTAATCTTTAATCATCAAATTTTATGACAGGAACTGTAAAATAACTGCTTGATTATTACCATTTGCGTGGGGTGAAACAGCTTAACAGCATGGCTGCAGGCAACAACCAGCAGAGCAGCTTTGTGGTGCGCATTTTTGACCGCAGCATCGACCTCGCTCAGTTTGCTGCTGATGCACCACTCTACCCCATCTGTCGAGCTTGGCTCCTCAATGAACCTAATGCCGAAAGGTAAATAAATGTTCTTCTATTTGGATGTATATGTAATGTTCTGAAGTTCATAATAGAGACGGAATTTGTAATTATTTAACCTGCATTTTTGTTGAAGCGAACCAAGTCTACAAAAAATATAACTCAGTACTTACTGCAGTGAGTGACAAAGAGCACATTTTCTCGTCGACAAAAACGTGAAGTCACGGACGGACAGACAGACGGACATGGCGAGCACAATAGTGCATTTTTTCCATAAATGAGAAGTTCGCAAAAAATTGCTTTAACCATCTCCGTCTCTCATGTATGAGAATCTGACAAAATATACGTAGTGTTACGAGTGACGTAGTGTTACGTAGTGACAAAAATACGTAGTGTTGAAATGACCTACATCATTAGTCTTAAGATATGCCATGAAGCATCTAAGGATTTTCGCCAGAATTCGAATCATCTTAATTACCGTTCGTGTTTAATAGTCATGTTCACAACACCATGTTCAGATGAACGGGACTGGCATATCTAATCAAGTGTTCACACCCCTCTATGTCCAGAGGGACCGGGCTGACAGATCTAAACGCTGGTACCCCATCGCCTCCTGAAGGTGCAGATCTGCCCGAGGTGTTATCCCTGCCTCCTCCTACACCTTGGGGGCCTGAGTATGCCGACCGTCTCCATCCCCTGATTCCAGCGCCACTACCAGCACCTCCTCTTGTGCGCCGCGACACGGTACCTTAGCCTCTTCTTCTGACAAAATTAAAATCGCGATAGAAATGAAAAATAAGCACTTAACCAAATTTCCTTTCCATTATTACGTTGGGACTTGGGTACTTCTTGATTCAAGTGTTTTTTGTCTCGATCGTAGTTAAGGCTACTGATGCTATGACATTACCCTGCAGAAGGTTTCAGGGTTAACATTATTCTCATTGATTGCAGGCACTTGGCTCGCCTAGCGCATCAGAGCTGCTCAACCATCACCTGCAACACTGGAAGAACGTCAGACAGACCTGGAAAAAGGCGTCCGCTGCCGCAGATGCGCGATATGATGAATCTGCTACAATTCTCAGAGAAATATTTAGGTTAGCTTCATTTGCTACTCGATATAAATCGTCATTTGATATTAGCAGTAAATTGTGTTCAATGTCGATTGAAGCCACTTTATGAACGAGAATAGCACAAGCGGGAGACATTACATAGTACATTTACACCATGAAATAATGAGCAAAATTCAAAATGCCTAATTGAAAGTAATTACTTTTAATGTCTATACAAATGTTGGAGGCCATTCATTGATAGTGATACTCGTTAGTTCCATGTTCTGATATGCATATTGAAGAACTTTTTAATTACAGCATACACGCAGGTGGTGAAGTGTCTTCGAGCGCCACAGCCTGACCTACGCCACAAGAAAAGGGCTCATCACAGCAAACCTGGATCCAAGTCACAACCACATTTCATCTACATTAGGTCCATCTCTCAAATTTCTGCGCACTTAACTTCTTCAATTAAATGCCGAAAATCTAGCCTAAGGGTACGCACACAGTGAAAGCAGGTTTGCCCGCGCGGGCAACCTGCTCCAACCTGCCACAAGAATGAACATAGGATAATAATGTAAGTGTTCACAGTGAAAACCTGTACGAATAGGCTTCTGTATTCTATGGTTTCAGGCGCCAGCCTGAGCATGCAGGTAACCAGCACGCTGGCAACCTGCCACAAGAATGAACATAGGATAATAATGAAAGTGTTCACAGTGAAAACCTGTACGAATAGGCTTCTGTATTCTATGGTTTCAGGCGCCAACCTGAGCAGGTAACCAGCACGCTGGCAACCTGCTTTCACTGTGTGCCTACCCTAAGAGCTGCGTCATCAGTGTGATGAATTCTGCTGGACGTTTGTATTGCATTCCGAATAGTACAATTAATGATATTTACATTCGTTACTCAGGGCGGTTGATGTTCAATACAGCCCTGAGTGCATAAGAATACGGAATTATGCTCTATGATACAAGACCTGGCTTGTCGCTATATCAAACGGAATAATATTATTTCTCTTCTGCTTAGTTTCATTTACATAATGCAAAGGAAAGAAAAGTAATGAAGGTACTTTTTATTTCGTAAAATAATTGCCATAATTTTTCCGAGATAATTTAATTGAACATCATCAGGATCTGAGGCAGCTGATCGGAACATTTGTGTATTATTTTAATAATCGATGACAAAAAATGTGAATGAAATTCCACTCGCAGCTAACAGAATACTTAATAAGCAAACGCGTTTCTTGAAATGTAAATGTATTAGAATGATACGGAATTATATTCTAGGATAGGGTTAATTATTTCTATGCCAGCTGCATCTTTTATTATATTAGATGGCATAATTTCTAAAATACAGACGCCTTTTCGACGGCATCTGAAGATTTGTATAGATATCCGTTTTCCGTTCGCAAATAAAGGTATCGGGAGAAAGACCCGATGATTCCATTTATTTAACCATTAAAATAAGTTCAATGATGATGAGCGCTAGCTCCATTGAGGTGGCTCATCATAAAAGGGAAATCAGTTCTTGTGTATCAAGAAGGCAGTCAATGTTCAAATTTCTTGTACTCCATTCCATCAGGGGCTTTGACGTCGACAGTTTTAGCGCCCACTTCGTTCCAGTTGGTGCTGAGCACAGTGCCTCCTGACTCCGTCTGCAAAAGAGATGAAAATCTTGTTCTGACCACTAATAAAGAATAGCTTTTCCAATTGAACCGGTTTCTTTATCAAGATTTCTAAAATTCTCGTCTTTCCCTTCGTCATGCATCTGTACTTCAATTTGCTTCATTTGAATCTTCTTCATGCATTATTAATGCGGACTATGATAAATGAGTAAATTAAAAATGTCCAGCTTCTTCTAGCCTATTTTTTGTCAATTACTATGAAAGAACAATATTATGAGTCTAAGGTAAAATTAAGTTATATAAAATACTGCACTTATTATTCATCACTCTACTCACAAAACTTTTATTCATAGCTTTTCTTGTGTTTTCATCAGCATCCTTATAAATTTTCTGGAATAGTTGGTTGAGGGCCTGGTCCCCCTGAGGCTCTTCCTCCTCAACAGTGATGTGGTCCCAATCCTTGGTAGCTGCTGCACGGGTATTATATATATGATCAATACAGCTCATTATGTTCATCATCGCGAAAAAAAACTAATTTTAATCACAGGCTGGTCTCGTTAAACACCAAGTCAATAAATAATCGGAGTTATTCAACGTTTTTAGTTATAGCATAAATTTATTCTGCATTATCTTTCTTCTAATAAAGTGTAATCTTCTCAGAGCTCTTACTTTTTATCACCTGTGGCTGTTGCTCCCGCGTCACTGTCGGCCACCTCTGGGCCACAGTTTTGGGCAGTCGAAGCTCAACCTAGGGAGAAAATGAGGGACATAAAACCAATGCACCCTCTTCTACTGCCATTAGCCTTTTTATATTTTAAAATATAGAATAATCTACATGCAAAGTTAAATTTCAATCTTAACTCTGTAGGCAAATCAAGTACCTATATTAAAAATAAATTTTCAGTTGATTGGAGGTTATATGAAGAAACCAGACTGAGCCCAAGGGCTTTGAAATATTTCTAAGCAATTCTCAGTGGTGGTCAAGTCAGAAAAGCCTCACTGATTTATAGCAATGCTGATAATGCAAATGACAATTTCCAGGATAATAAATTCACCTTAGAGGAAAAAATTTTAAATGTTGCTTCCTCATGCTTGATGGGTGCAAAAAGCTCTACATGGAGTTGGTCTTGATTTTCATTTTCTCTTGCAATTGTCACCTGCAATAGAGCACATTTAAAAATCAAATGAATAAATAGTTTATAAAGGCCTGTTAGAGAAATATCAAGTAAGTAGATGCCCTAAGTATGCCAAATATGGATGCATAACTGTACACTCAGCTTGCATTCTATTGCAGAGCTACATGAATAGAAATGAATTACAAAAAATGAAGGATTTCATCACTTCTGAAACTATTTGAATGACTTAAAACTATACTTACATCTTGTTCAGAGAAGTTTAGCTTTAATTCTTCTATTTTACAATTTTTAGAAAGGACATCAATGATGATCTCAGAGTCAGTCTGATACCATGTATACTTCATTTTGTGAACAAAAAATAGGTTAAAAAAATCTAAGAAAAATTTATGAACAACAGGATCTGTAAATAAGCAAAGTCTGTGCTTGAATGAACAGCCAAAATCCATTAACCAGTCTTTCTTGAAAAGATAGTTCACATTAAATACACATAAAAATAATTTCTGGAATTTGAGGGGTACGGTAATGCTGGTACATTACATTGTGGAAAAACCCACTTGAATTTTTGGTAGCAATAAAATAGAAAAGAAGCAGGTACCAGATATCAGCTCTATATTGGGTTTTCAAATCCATAATGAATTAGTGATTCTTGCTATTTAGTCTACATTTTGTGGGAACTTAGACATTTTTGGAACATAATTATAGGAGGAATAGGCTTCACAAAGGTGCAAACTATTCAATCTTAGAACTTTTCAAACTGTGCCCATCTTTAACATTATTTCAGACTTTAGTGTTAAACCAATCTGCATACCAAAGTTCCTTGCAAGAGAAAAAATGTGTTTGTAATGAGCAAATCTTGTAAGTGCTTATACTTTCATATTCTAATCTGTTGATATTTTGGCTCTCAAAATAAATTAAGATCTTTTCATACTGAAAGCACAATCTGACAGACACAAAGTAAAGTTAAGCCCTGGTATTATACATTATTTGTAAGAACAATACACACAATTTTTTTTTTGTTGTACATGCAAGAATTTTGTTGCAATTTTGCATAATTTTGCTTGCTACTCACAACAACAAATAAAGCAAGTCTGGAAGTTTGTGAGCATATGCAGTATTAAAAGGCTAATGATTTAGTACAAGTGTCTCAGTCCATTTCTTCAGAAGTTTTGAAAAAACTATATATGGTCTTTCCTGCAACATATATATTAGATTGGTAGACAGAAAAGTGAACACTCCCTTGAAGGCTCAGCTGATATGTTTTTGAACAAGGTAAGGGGACCAGCTTGTTAGATATTTAATGCCATATAGCATTATCTACTTCCTTATATATATAACATTATCCATTTGACCATTTCATTTCTTATATACGATGTTTCTCATATACCTTTGAATGGGGTAATAAGGGACGTTTTGAGCATTATTTTTCAACAACTTCTTACCATGAAACATTTCATAAACGAGTTTGGGCTCATTTTAAAAGCCTTTGTAAGAGCTATTGTAAGGCATTTCCAAATAAATTCCATTTGCTATTTGTAAGGTGCCAGATGCAAAATAAAAGCATCCCTACTTACCTCTGGGAACTGGGAAATTAGGGACACTTGAAATAAAACTTAATATAAAGACGTTTGAAGCATGCAGAGTGTACTCATCTATAACTAACAGTACCCTGAACTCCTCCTCTTCCTGTTATAGATGATTTAGATGTCAAATAAATGAAATTTTCTGCAATTTCAACTTGTTTTTCCTTTATTAATATGATATTACTGTGTCTATGGACATGCCATTGTGCATTGAGAATGACCTTGTCCACTGCAAGCTTCATATCAGCAACCGTATAGCATTTCTTCTGTATTTGTAAGCTTCCAGGATGGCTTGTAATTTTGCACCAATTTAATTGGGTCAAGTGAATAGACCAATTAATAGATTAATTGGGTCAAGTGAATTCACTATAATAAAAAAAATTGTATAAACATGTGAAACAGAAAGGAATATTTTAATGACAACCATCATATTTTTTGGAGATATAAATCATAGTGTAGGTTAATTACTTTTCATCCTATGTTGCCTGGTGCACAATTCTATCTATGACATTCCATGCACAATTTTGTGACGACGCCTTAATTTTTTGTTAGTGAATTTTTTTTTTTTGCTGAGGGAGGTAAATGTAATAAAAATTCGTTGTTGTTATTTGATTATATTTTTTTTAACTGGAGCTTTTGCTGACCAAGGTTCTACTGTAACAGCATTTCTAGGGGTGTCCCTTATTGCCCCAGAAGGGGTCCCTTATTACTTCCAGAAGGGGCAATTTCTTGCAGAAATGGCCCTCTTGCAGAAATAGCCACCATTTTTTTTGAGTGAGCTACACAAATTCCATTAATCACATTTTCAAGCCAACACCTGTGTGCAACTTTTATGTGCATACAATTTTTTTTATATGGCGCATATTTTTTTTTTGCTACAGATGTTAGGATTGGAATTTTCCAACTTGTTTCTGAATCTTGCAGCTCCAACATGACAAATTTTTAATACAATTGGAATCTTGCGGCCCAATCGTGCACTTCTGTAAACAATTAGATAGGAGGTAATTCATCTGGCGGAAATCTCGCAATTTCGGAAATGGCAGGAAAGCTCTAGTCATGGCCCTAAAGGTATATAAATGGTTTTCACGCTTACAGTAGCAGAGGTATATACTCTTCCAAAATCTCACTTTTCACACCTTTTTTCAGGGATTTTTTAGAGGTAGTAAATATATGATTTCTTAACTTGCTTCATGCTACATAGGTAGACAAAATGTTAAACTTTATGCCACTATTTTTAGTTTTGCAATATTCCAATTAGTTTATTGGCTAAAACGTTTCTATAAAATGTAGGAGGACTATCCCGATTTAACTGATTTGGAGGAATATTTAACGTCCCTTATTGCATTTGAAAATATATAAAGAAAGTTTTCTGAGAAAAATAGCTTTGAACAGTTAACAGAGCAAGCAATTGCAGTAAATATCAGCTAAGCTTAAAAATGTTTCAAACATAAGTTTAAAATAATATGTGTTTAAAAATTACTTTAAAAAGACAACACTTCTAAAGAATCAAGTGTCTATGATGTTACACATGTTGACATTTACAATGAATTTCTAATTTTATTTTCAAGTTTCAACTATTACAAAAATTAATTTTTAAATTTGGTTTTTAAAATAAAAAAAATTGATTTTTCAAGATTATTTATTCTGTCAATGATTTTTCAAGATTATTTATTCTGTCAATTGATTCATGCATTGCCTCCAACTTTAGACAAGTGTGGAAAATTTCACATTGATTGGACTGGTAGAAGTGTGTTGAATATATATTGATTATAAGATTTGTGGAAGACAAAATTATTTATTCAATATTTTTTAGATTAAAAAATATGCGTTTAAAAATTACTTTTTAAAGACAACACTTCTGAACCATCTAGTGTCTTGGATGTTACACATGTACAATGAATTTCTAATTTTATTTTCAAATATTGAAAAAAAATATTTTTCAAACTTTTTTTAAGATATAAAAATTTTGTAAATTTTCAAAATTATTTATTCTGTCAATTGGTTCATGCATCGTCTCTGACTTTCTGCAATTGAGCAAAATTTTAGATCAATTGAACAGGTCAAATTGTGTTATACATGGATTATAAGATTTGTAGCAGACAAAATTATTTGTTACTTTTTTTAATGATGAGAAAAAATTTAATTTATAAAAGTATTTGTTCTGTCAATTGATTCATGCATTTTCTTCAACTTTACACAAGAGTGCCAAATTTCAGATCGATTGGACAGGTAGAAGTGTGTTAAATATTGATTATAAGATTTGTAGCAGACAGACAGACAGACAAACAAACAAGAAGTGAAGTTAAAGAGAAGTGTTGTAAAAAGTTTCAATTTTTTTAGATTAAAAAAGTTTTTAATTTTCAAAATTATGGTATTCTGTCAATTGATTCATGCATTGTCTTCAACTTTATGTAAGTGTGCAAAATTTCAGATCTATTTCACAGGTAGAAGTGCATTAAATATTGATTACAAGATTTGTAGCAGACAAACAAACAAATAAGAAGTGAAGTTAAAGAGAAGTGTTGTATTAATTATCAGATTTTGGAGTAACAGACTAGGCTAACTGTACAAGGGTGGAAAACATCTAGGGTAAACGTGGTATATTCCGACATCGTGGGTAATTCCAACACTTCTCAACTTTTTTCCTTTATATTAAGCTTTGTCTTAGTTCCACACATTCCTTGATGGTTGAAATGGTGACGTCATACAGACTGTCATACTATTGCGCGCCATACTATTGCCAAAACACTAGGTCTGGGCTGTCTGGTGGGAAAATGTTAAGATCAAAAGAGAGACAGTGCACGTCACCCAGTGAGAACATCGAAAAACGTGTCAAAGTTGATAGTTGACCTTGCTCTACCAAATAGTGATACACTGTTTGTGTAGAAAGAATATTATGGTTTGAGACTTTTGAACGAGTCTGTGAATATATTAGGAATCCTTTAAGTATACAGTATACTTGTATTTGCTGATTTCAAGTGGTAAATAAATTAATAGATGATTAAGTTAAGCCATGGTTTTAGACACATAAAAACTAATTCTAAATGTAATCAATATTCTTTGTTTTTAATCCATTTTTTTCTCAACTGGAGCCTTTGCTTACTGAGATTCTACTGTAAATGCGTTTTTGGGGGTATCCCGAATAGCCCCAGGGGGATGTCCCAAGTAGCCCCGCCGTGCGGAAATGGCCACTATTTTTTTTAATGAGATAAGACAATTCCATCAATTACGTTTTCAAGCCAACACCTGGGTGCATCTTTTATGTAAGTAAAATTTTTTAATACGGCGAATATTTTTTTGGCTACAGACCTTAGCAGAAGTAACTTTTCAAAATAGCGTTTTTCATCATTTTTTTCAGGAATTTTTCAAAGCTAGTAAATGTAGTATTTTCGAATTCCTTTATACTACATAGATAGGAAAAACGTTGACATTTACGCCACTATATTTAGTTTTGCAATATTCCAATTAGTTTTGCTACTATAACAGTTTTACGCCGTGTCGGAGGACTGTCCCGAGTAGCCCCGCCCGTCACGAGTAGCACCGGTTGACAATAAGCTTGTTCTGAGCTGTGTCGATACAGCTCACACAGGGCATTGGAATTCCAACACAGGGCGCCGGAATTACAAATTAATAGTTTGAAGCACTGCCGGAATTAGTTTCACAATGTGCCAAATTTAGTCACACACAGCATCGGAATTCAGGGATTTTGTTGGTTTGAATTCTAAAGGCTTTTAAATAAATATTACAACAGTTTGTGACGTTTCATTGTTGGCGGCGCGTAGTGTGGTGTTTTGAGAGTGAAGTATAGCAATGAGAACTTGAGTTGCGCATATGGTGATATTTTTATAGTCATTCATTTCTTGCTA